TCACCCCCGCGTCATCCCTTTTTGTTACATCGCCCCCCAAAAATGAAATCACCTCCTGGGGGGGCGATATCACCCAAGTTAAGAACCACTTCCTTAGGGGACGCCCACCAAAATCCAAATGAAAAAGGGGTCACCTTTGACTGAAGTCCTATGGAACTGAATCGTTTCCATGAGTTAGCTATCTAATGGAGGAGACTATGGAGTGGAAACCCCTAGACCAAATTTGTTGTTGTTTAGTCGTTAAGTCGTGTCCGACTCTTTGTGACCCCATGGACCAGAGGATGCCAGGCCCTCCTGTCTTCCACTGCCTCCCGGAGTTGGGTCAAATTCATCCTGGTTGCTTCAATGACCCTGTCCATCCATCCCGTCCTCTGACGTCCCCTTCTCCTCTTGCCTTCACACTTTCCCAACATCAGGGTCTTTTCCAAAGAGTCTTCTCTTCTCCTGAGATGGCCAAAATATTGGAGCCTCAGCTTCAGGATCTGTCCTTCCAGGGAGCACCCTGGGTTGATTTCCTTCAGAATGGATAGGTTTGTTCTCCTTGCAGTCCAGGGGACTCTCAAGAGTCTCCTCCAGCACCACAACTCAAAAGCATCAATTCTTCAGCAGTCAGCCTTCTTTAGGGTCCAGCTCTCAGTTCCATGAATACCTACTGGAAAAACCATAGCTGTGACTATGTGGACCTTTGTGGGCAAGGTGATGTCTTCTTTTTAAGATGCTGTTGAGGTTTGTCATTGCTTTCCTCCCAAGAAGCAGGCGTCTTTTAATTTCGTGGCTGCTGTCACCTTTTGCAGTGATCATGGAGCCCAAGAAAGTAACTCTTCCACTTCGATTTGCCAGGAGGTGATGGGACCAGTGGCCATGATCTTAGTTTTTGTGATGTTGAGCTTCAGAACGTTTTTTGCACTTATTTTTTCAATTATCTTATTCTTAGTGGAATATTTAGCATAAGAAATGGTGTACTGAAAGCATCAAAGCTACCTATCCTTAGAAAACGCAGAACATAATCTACTGGTAACAAGCGTCCTCTGAATTATATTCTTAAGGCCCTCTGATCACCCAGCCATGTATTTACAGTAACTAGATAGAATTATGTTCAGATCCACATAAATATGGTCTATGATAAAACTACTGTGAATTTGGTGAACCGAGCAGGGTTAATAAAATTAGTGATATGTGAGAGAGAATCATTATGAATAAGCATTCCAACTTTCTTTATGCTTCCTTTTTACAATTCCATTATTCAAAGGGATGTTATCATCTCACAAAAAAAAGTTGAAATTGAAACTGTCTGACTTTGGGCCCATCCTGAGAAGAGAGGATTCTTTGGAAAAGACCATCACGCTGGGAATAGTGGAAAGCAGCAGGAAACGAGGGAGACCCAATACGAGATGGACAGATTCCCCCAAGGAACCACCGCCTTGAATCTACACGAGCTAAGCTGGGTTAGGCTGAGGACAGGACCTTTTGAAGATCACTCATCCATCGGGTTGCCATACGGTCTTCCTCTGTAAAGGCTGAGAGAATATTCTCTCCTCTTGGGGCATCTGAACCCACTGGAAGAACATCCCTTGGCAGGGTCATGGAATGAGGCTGCCTTGTTCTTGTGGATTTGTGTGAGTGCCCCCGCCATGCCATTAGGTGACCTCCCGGGGTCTACCTAAGGAATGTACACCTGGCCAAAGTCACAAGCCCCTTGGGTACCCAATATGGCCCCTCCAGGCCATAACCATCTCTCATGACATGTAAAAAGAAAAAGCCCTCCCCCAAACACTAATGGTACCTCTGCTTACACCTCCTTATTAATAGATTAATTCACAGTGATTACACTGCCAAGGAAAAAATAATAGATGCAATCCAGTGTCAAGGTATGTCACTGCAGTAGCTACTAGAGATGGGTGCGAACTACCGCTTCGGTAGTTTGTGCTGGTTTGGCCAACAAGCAAGCAGGTGTTCTGTTGTGTGGCGCTCCACCCGGCCCCCAGAGGTGGTGGGGCAGGAAGGCCAGGGTGCTGCTTCCATGTGGGTTATGTGCCAGAGGGGGAAGGGCACCGAACCACAGAACACCGATTCGCCCAGCGATTCGTGCCCCTCTCTGGTAGCTACCCAGCTCATGTACTATATCAATCCCTGGAAAAGCATATTTGGAAAATTATTCAGGGACAGGGGTCTAACACCCATCCTCTCAAAAAGCAAGCAAGCCGGTTTCACGGCCATTCTCTCAGTTTTCTGCATCAAAGAGTCACAGGGAGTGGTTGGCAGCCATCAAACACGGCAGCAAGAAAACCAAGGCCACCAAGACCAAAATGAATCCCTGGGAAACAAGGATCTGTGGCGAGTTTAGACACCATTTCATGTTTGTTTGCTTTCACTTGTTCAAAGTCACCAACATATTGGTGGGAATTGGGTGTATGTGTATGTAGAAACGACGATTTCATGGCAGTAAAACATGCTAGTGAGGAAGATGGGAAAAGTTGCCATCTTTGGGTACTTGCAAGGAAAGGGAAAGGTGCTTTCAGTCAGGTCTGGCTTAATGAGAATGCGACCAAGGCAATAAGGATGCAGGGGGAATAGATCTGAAGGCCTTCCGGCATCTTCTTTTCTACTCCATGACAAATGTGAGAAGGTCAAGGGAGGTCAACAAAGCATTCAAGGGCTGTTTGGCTTGTGCCGAGAGGGTGAGGGATTCGTACCCGTGAAGACATGCGTCATGGCAGAGCTCGGAAGGAAAAGGGGGGAGGGTGTCTGTGAGGGTCTTGAAGGAAAACACAGGCAGTGAGACTTACGCTGGCGTTAGTTTTATCACTTCCACCCGAAGAAACACTCCACCGTTTTATACCCTGAATGTACAAGAAAGAAAAGGGTGTTTCCCCCCCTTCAATCAATGCCGGGAAACATAGAAAAATCAGAACATAGCTTGGTCAGACGACGTAAGCACAATCCTTATGGGGCAGCCATTCAAAATAATTTCTCTCGAAAACATAGCACGTGAAGGGATAAGAGACACACCACAACACAAGAAGAACCTCCAGAAGGACCCTTTGGTGGCTGCATCCAGTTTTCTGTTCTGGGAATTCTTGATTTCACAAAGGGAAAAAGTGGGGCAATTCCACTCGTGACTGTACCCCCTGTTGAGGGGACAGGCAAGCACGGATCCTAGAAGACCCATTTGGTGCTTGCACTGATGTGATCCTTCCCCCCCCCCCAAAGGGCAGGATTCTCTGAAAGGGGAATGATGACCCACCTTGCTATCTGTCGTTGGGGACTCCTTGTCTTTCTCTGCATGCTGCAACTTCCGGTTCAGATCCTGGAACATGTCTTGGTGTCGTTTCCGCGTGTGCATGATTTTCTGCAATGAGGAAGAAAGACAGAGGTCAAGGCTTTCTGGGCGATGTGTGTGCCTCTGACAGGAACGATGGAAAAACATATGCCCAGTGTGACTCTTTTTTTAAAAAAAGAGAACAAAATTAGCGCAATAATGTATACACAGATCCATGCAATGTAGTTTTCTCAGAAAACATGCAATTCTAAGCGTGTTCTCTCTGTCTTGGAGATATTTCTAAAGACACTTTGCTCAAAACCTCACATTTTTCTATGCTTTTTTGCTGTACTTCAGTCAAGAGCTCCATTGGATAATGGGCAGAGCTGCAAACTCCGACAGTGTTGTGTGTTTTTAGCGCCACACATTCCTTCAGTTTGAAATAGGGGGTCAAATGGATTCTCAAGAAGAAAGCATGAAAAGTCTTACCTCAAAATCTAGTTCTGCGTACCGAGATTTCCGCCTCTGAGGAATGAGAGAGAAATATAAGTTACTCACAGTTGACGGTGGGCTGATCACACCCTCAGAAAAGTGTTTTACATCTTCCCCGTGGAGGGTGATGGTTCACATTTTTGGGAGGACCATAATTCCACTTTGGATTTGTGTGTAAACCTTCCGGTTGCTACCCTTCGACTCGGATCCTGTCCCCAAAACAACTTCAACCTCTGGAATAGCTTCTCCAAGGCTTACGCTAAAATCTGTTGTGGATTCACTACCCCATTGATATCAGAGTCCATTCCATTTTCCCCATTTGATGAAATCCATATTTCAGTGTATGCAGCTGGGATGTGACCTCACTTTATTTTCAATGGGGAAATGTAGTGATTTTTTTAAAAAAAATCCTATCACACTGGCCTATTTAACAGCAGGGGTGGGGGTCTAGAAAGACTAGGAAGACTGGCAATAAATCTGGTGAGAATAAAATGAGACAGAGTTAGGAAGGTCATTCTGAGCCCCTTCAAGGCAAAGCAGGAGGTGTAAGAAAGCACTGAATGAAGAAAATACTATAGAATCATTCTGATTTGATAATGTAGGACAGTTATCAATGAGAGAGGGCCTTACGTAAAAAGGACCAATTGTGTCTAGAAGAATGGATACTCTTTCATAAATGAATAGCTGGAAATGCTTTACACTTAGTAGGGAAAGAAAAGTGGGCCACTTTCCCTTTCTCTCACATTTCTATTATAATTGCGGTTACAAAAATCTTGCATCCTTTCCATGCCACTTACGAAAGAATCTGAAATCCGGTGTGTTCTTACAAGAAACAGTGAATGGGACAATGCCCATTGTCCATGCCACTTACGAAAGAATCTGAAATCTGGTGAACGGGACAAGGCCCATCTGTACCAACCAAATTCTACAGGGACATCTGTTCCCAATGTGAAAAGGGGCATATTGTAGATCAGTGGACCCCAACCTTGGGCCTCCAGATTTTCTTGGACTACAACTCCCAGAAGCCTTCACCATCACCTCTGCTGGCCAGGATTTCTGGGAGTTGAAGTCCAAGAAAATCTGGAGGCCCAAGGTTGAGGACCACTGTTGTAGATGTCTGCCATACAGCTGTTAAAGATGATGAGTTTGTCATGGGGAAAAAAAGTTGGACACCCTAATTAAGCTCCACAGACATCAAGGATTAAAGCCAGACTTCTAAGAGCAAAGCACACAACACCCCCCGCCTGCCTGGAGAATTCTGCTTCGTTTACTTCCTCCCAAGGTCTCTGTGTTTTGTTTTTTTAACACCATCAAGTTATTTCTATCCCCTTTGTGAAGAAAAATTGTGGGTTTGGTTAAGTTCTTCTCTAAAAAGGAACCAAATAAAATCCCCCTCTTTCTGGCATCAACCCATGGATCCTTTCAGCCTCACTTCATACCATCTGACTGGCAGCTACCTTCCAAGGTCAGAAAGAGGAAGGAACTTGGGGGTCCCTCAAAGTCCCATGTGCCTCAAATCATTTTTGGAAGCTACCTGCCTTAAATTGAGATAGAACGATGGTCCCACTTGGCCCGTATGGTCAACTCTGTTGAGCAACAGTGGCCCACCAGCAGAATTCCTTTTAGCTCTACTTGGAGAGCACTTGGGGTTCCTGGTGGTCTCCCATCCAAACGTTAACCAGGCCTGACCCTACTTAGCTTCTGGAATCAAAAGAGACTGGTGCACTCCTCCTTGGAGACTGAAAAGGGCAAGGACTGAACTGGGAAGTTCTACACTGAAGTAGTATATGCCTTATCATGACCAAAATCTCCCTTACCTCAAGGGAACTCATGGAAAGGGTGGAGACAGTCTCACCCTTCGACACAATGCCTGAGTTTCCAGACTCGCCTGGCTCACACAAGCTGTTGGGCATCTGTGAGGCACCGGATTTGCTGACCACTGGAGGTGATAACTGTTGTTGTTGCTGCTGCTGCTGTTGTAGTGGTGGTGGTGGTTGCTGTTGTTGTTGCTGCTGCATCATATGGGAAGGTGGGACCTCCCCACAGCCCATCACCACTGGCTCCCTTGGAGGGCTCTTGACTACGAAACCTGGGTCAGTGGCCATACTGAGGTGGATAAGCCGCGTCTGTGGCATCTGGTCAATGTTGATGCTGTATTTTGTTTCGTCCTTGGGTGGTGGAGGTGGCGGCGGCGGCTTTGGCCGCAAGGTGGAGGTGTTGCTGGGCAGGATGACATAGCTGGTGTTATCTATGGCTTGGTCTTGTGCCCGAGAGAGCTCCGAGTCCAGCTTTTTGAAGATATCCCCATCACAGATGTAGATGGACTTGGGGAGCTGGCTCTTGTCTTTCTTCAAAGTGAGGGTGTGGTTGCTGAAGTCGTTGAGGTTGATGGCCCCCAGGTAGTGTGGGGAGCCTTGGAGGTGCATCTTGGAGACGTTGGCTGGAAGACTGTTGAAGTTGGATGAACCCTTCTGGTGGTTCAGCTTCACCTTCTCCTCGTCCTGCAGTGAAGGACGCTTCAGGGTCCCCGTGATGGTCATTGTGCGACAGGTGCTGATGTCTTTATTGAGCACTAACAAATTGGAGGAAAAGCAAAAGGTGGTCAACAAATGCAACGGGAAACATCTCACAACACAACAGAGAAGACTTCATCACAATGGCACTGCTTAATCATATGACCACAAGACCCTGGAGGACAGGCTTATAAAGACAATTTTTTGTTCTGACCATCTATGAAAATACATCCATGTGCCAAAAGTGGCACTGCTTAATCATATGACCACAAGACAATTCTTTTGTTCATCTACCTCACACATAAGTGAAAATACATGTGCCAAAATTAGTGATTATCTTGTGCCAAAATTAGTGATTATTTTGTGCCAAAATTAGTGATTATCCTGGAACAGCTGTTATGTGGTGTCTACTTTAGCTTCCCAGAAAGGCAGATGTGCAAACTCTTGCAGTTACCTCTTAGAGTGGAAACTGGATGTGATTGAATATACAATGTTCTCCACAGTGGACAGAATCCTATCTCCAACTTACAGATGTGTAAGGCAAAACCACACAAGTTTTGATGGCAAATTGACATTCATTCACTTGGTGCTGGTTGAGTTCTTGGGCATGAGGTTGATCAAGGGATTGGACATCTTCCCAAGAATGCAACCAGAATGCTGATACTAAGTGGCAACATGTCACCAAGACTAAAGCAATTTCCTTTGCACAAGTGGAAATCACCAAGAGGATTCTGGCCAATGTCTAAGATTTGGAGAACAGATGTAAAGCACTCTGGTGAAACTGTTAGACATTTTCCCTTTGTCCTGCCGCACAAATTTTGCAGTGGGTCCAAAAGAGTTCTGCTGTGAAAGTGAAAAGGGAAGCTGAAAGGATTCTTCCAAGTTTGGATCATAGAACAGAAAGCCCTTCAATTTCCTGCTTGCTGCTCCTTACTTTTAACAGTATGCCTGCACTCCAAAGGAAAATACCACTGTAGGCATATATTGTCAGCTGCAGTGGACAGAGGGAACCCAGGGAGAAGAAGCATCATGTACCCACCAGTTCAAGATGCCAGTTTTTTTTAGTTATTTACCCTGCAGAACAGATGTAAATAAAGGGTATGAAATGAGAAGAACCAGCAAGATTTAGTCAATAAATCTTGGAGTAGGTCTCAGGAGACGTTGGGTCAAGTTTCACCGTCCGTGGCGATCACAAGGTGCTCCTTGAACATCTTACATGCTGTGAAAACTCTCTTAGGGTTGCCATAAGTCAGAACTGAGTTTGTGGCGCATGACCACCAGAGCATGGTCAATTGGCCTTTGTGGCACCAATTGAATATTTCTCCAAAGATTATTAAACCCAGACTGGTTTAATGGAAACAGCAAACAGACTCTTCAAAAAAGCACAAGAAAGGCATTCTCATGGCAGAGTAGGAAGGAATATCCTAGAAGTTGGTGAATTCTCCTTCTTTGGAGTCACATGAAGGGGTGACTATGTTAGAGATGCTTTAGTTGTAGGTTTCCTACAGAAGCAGAGAACTGGAAGAGAGGATTCCTTGGGGCGCCTTCCAAGTCTCTGATTCTATGGCAGCAGCATAGAGTTGGAAAGGTCCCCTTAGACCTTTTGTTTCAACGTCCCACTGATGGACTCATCAAGCTCAAGCACTCCAGACTGACATTCATCTATGTAAATAGCTCTAATCAGTGAGGGCCCACTAGCTGCTGAGCCTGTTGTTCCTTTGTGCTAGGAAACCTTGGAGAAGTACGCAACTAAGACCTTGGCTTTTAACTGACTGCAAATTTTGCCTTTGTCTTTTTAAGTCAGCAGCACAGAACATCAAGAGGGCAAAAGGAATCTAAGACTGGTCAATGCCACGGTTGGTGACAAATGCATTGCTTACCATTTCGGGACAATGGGATTCAAATCACAAGGATAGGCTAAGATCCCTAGCAACTGACAGACATTGACCTCCTGACTCTGATTTCCAACAAAAACAAACATGAAATTCCACATCTCTCAGACCCTGGATGAATGTTTCATGGTTAGCTCAGCTGAATCCCTGATCTTCCCTCTCTTTCTAAACAGAACAGTAGGTCTTTCTGCAGGCAACTTTGTGAGGAGTGGGTGAAGCCAAAATCCAGAACTTTGCAAATACCAGTTATGCATTTAGACAATTGGATGGACGTTTCTTTTGGACTGCTTGATACTGGACTGCTCCTTAGTCTAATTCAATGACAGCGTTACAAACAATATCGATAGCACTGCTAGGAAGCTATTTTGACTTCTGAAGGATTCAGCCAAAGCTACTTTTTGGATTAGCATTATTGTTCATTAATGAAGGCCATCCCCTTTTGCACAAAAGGATTGAATGGCCCTCTGCAGGCAACCATCAAGGATATCTGAAGGCATTCAACTGGTTTCTTTGAGGGATTTTATTTTCCAGCCCAAACAAAAGAACCACAATAAAATCAAAGAGGCTACACACATTTTTGTTTAGTAAAACAGTTCTCTCGTGAAGCATTTGGGATCCTGTGTCTCTGGATTACCTGCAGATGTAATTATCCTAGTCTTTAAAGCAGCCTTTTTTCAATGTGGTGGCACCAGATGTTTGAGGCAGTGACCCCCTGATATTCCCCTTTTTTGACTATCCTGGCTGGGACACATTGCCTGGACCTCTATTATTAATAACACATAATGTTGATGTAATCAACTGGTGGCAGCCGAAGGGCACATTGCTTGTGCCCTTTGCTTGGTGAAACAACCAAAAGACAGGCAGGAACGTGGCAGTCCTATGCAAAGGCAGTCCTCAGATGGGGGCAGATATAAGCACATAGAACCCATGGAATAGTTTCCAGAGGTTAGCAGTTCCTGCTTGAGTGCCCTGTACAATCTGGATTAACATCACAAATGTCCATGTTGAACTCTCTGACTCCTTAAAAGTCAGGACCTGATAGGCTGAAATCCAGTAATAAGTCACAAGTAGAGTAGGCCCATTGAATCAATGGGGATTTAACTCCTCTTTGTTAGGTTCCACTGATTCACTGGGTTTACGCTGGTTACAACTTATTACTGCAGTTCAGCCACTGTGTGCAGAGCCACCCTAGAACATGATGGGACGTAGGCCCATTGAATCAATGGGGATTTAACTCCTCTTTGTTAGGTTCCACTGATTCACTGGGTTTACGCTGGTTACAACTTATTACTGCAGTTCAGCCACTGTGTGCAGAGCCACCCTAGAACATGATGGGACCAATCTGTTGAGTAGGCTCATTGAATCAATGGGGATTTAACTCCTCTCTGTTAGGTTCCACTGATTCAATGGGTTTACGCTGGTTGCAGCTTATTACTGCAGTTCAGCTATTGTGTGCAGAGCTGTCCTAGAACATGATGGGATCAATCTGTTATTGAATTCTCTCATTGCAGGAAGATTTTTGCAACTGGGCAAAAGAGGTTAATGTGGTGGGAACTAGAGGCCGCTGCAGAAGTGTTCTGTGGACAAGTCAGTCTGTCATCCATCATCAGTTCTCCATAGGATCGTGGTGTTCCAGATCAGAGTAGCCATCTGCAGTCTAAGACCCCTCTGTTCAAGCCATGCTGTCAATGAGCTGTCACCATTTTGTATCCTCAACAATGCAAGCCATGTCGTTCCAGAGAAGTGTGCGTGGGTGTGTACGGGTGTGCATTTGCACATGGGGGAGGAAGATAAGGAGTCTGCCAAAAGAAGTGTGGGAAACTCTCAAGTCTTCCGAGTAAATTGCCTCGCCAGCCCAACCCCAAATTCTTTGTTTAGTTGGTAGCATCAGAAGTGACCAGAGGGAGAAAATAGAAGCAGCAAGGAGATCAACAGAGAGAGAGAGAGAGAGAGAGAGAGAGAGAGAGAGAGAGAGAGAGAGAGAGAGAGAGGAAGTGGGAGGGAGATGATAGAAGATGCTAGCAGAAAGTAGAGCATCTCAGCAGACCAGTGAGTGCCACATGGAGATGGAATAAAAAGCTATAATGTATTTCCCAAGGACATGTCAGCACTGGCCTCATTCTCTAACACTCATATTCCCTCTTGGAATTATAAAGCTGATGAGGAAGTGTAATTCCTAGTTTCAGGAGCAATTATGCTGTGCGGTTCACTCTCCATCGGGTTGGCACTTCTGGCGGGCTGCTCAACCGGCAGTGCGGCTTGCTTTTAACTCATGGGTCAGCTGGCCAGGACTTGACGCAAGATGCAGTCCCGGCTAGAGATGTAAAATTTCCAGAAATTCTGAAGCTCTATAAAATGGCTTGGGGAAAAAAACCTGGAAAAATTGGGTGGGTGGGGGGAACAGTCCAGCCCCCACATTTTTTTCCAAAGCTGTTTTATATGGCTTCAAAATTTCCAGAAATTTTACATCCCTGTTACATAGTCAGGGATGGAGGAATCAGTCAATTTCCATTCCTCATCTTTTCTCTTTTTCCCCCTTGTCTTAAATAGCAATGGAAAGTATATTCGTTACATTCCTTGTTCTCATGGGTTTATCTAATCTTGACAAGATGAGACCGTTCAAGAATACCACAAGGTTTCTCATCTGCAGTAGAGAACTGAACGAAAACTTTTTTTTTTCACACAGCTCCCACAGTTTGCATAAACTCTCCTTGGCATCAGAAAAATGTTTGCTAGAATAGTTGTGTCCCAAGATGGATACACTGGGAAGCACTGGTGATGAAATGGGATAGACCAGATCGATACCTGTTGAAATTGAAATGGGACACTAATCTTTTGCCCATAGGTGGGGACACTAACTCTCCCTCTTCTGGCTGCTACCTGGGCTTCCAGATAGGTGTTGGAATGTGAAGTAGAGATATTGCAGTCTCAGGAATCAGAAAATGCACACGGATGACTAGATGGCTGGACAGACAGAGAGATGCAAAGGAGGGAAATGAATATAATGTGCATGTGGGGAGGGAAAAAGAGAAGAAAGATGGAAGGACAGAAAAATAATGAAATAGCAAAGGTGAACATGTCCCATATGACATTTTAAATTTTTTTACCTCCATGGTTTTTGAACACACATAAACATATAATGCTGAGATGCAGCAACTGCGCTCACT